TGCCACTGCTGAGGATATTCTGCACAAATCAAAATCCAGAATTATCCTTAGGCTTTTTCGCTCTTGTCCGTTACTTTTACCCTATTTTGGGGCTAAAGTTAAAAGCTTAACGGCTTATGAAGTGTCTGGAGAAGTAAATCTACAGCCGCTAGACTATTCTAAAGCTCAGTGAAGTAGTCAATTTCTACGCCTCACTGCTTCCCTCAATGACCATTCGTCAGACAGCTTACATTAAAACGCTTCGCTTGCGCTACTCGAAACCTATAATACACACTAAGCACCACTAATAGCCCCCAACTCACCTTCTTCCACTTCCTCCCCTCTCAGCACTCCAGGGAACTAGGCGACCATGGGCATATACAGTGATACTCCTATCAGGTCGCTACTTATCATTATTATTACCATTTCCATTATTATTATTAGCACAATTATCATTGCTATTATTACTATCATCATCACTGTTGTTGTTATTACTATTATTATTATCGCTGTTATTATTACACTATTATTATCATTATCATCATTATTATTGCTATTGTTATTACTTTTACTATTATTATTATTTTCAAGAACGGAGGGTTTATAAATGGAAGTAGGGTCCACCCGGTAAGATGATATAACGAATTTGGAGAGTTTTGGAATGTTGGGGAAGAGGTGACAAAAGGGAATGATAAGGGAAATGGGGAACCGGGTAAGAGAGACTAAAGTGAGGTAGAAGAAGGGTTAATGGAAAATGGGAAAAGATTTTGGGGCGAGGGATAAATAAAAAAGGATGGAAAAAGTAATTCAAGATATAAATACTCGAGTGCAGTAGCAAAAAATGAGAAAGGAGTATTACACAATTTATAATTTTAATTATACTCTATTCAGAAGCTGCTACCCCAGAATTCTTCTTGGTCTCCTGGATGTTAACTTGAAGGCATTTATCTGTTGACGATGAAAGAAGACTACTGCTGAGTTGTGCCGCATTGAAAAGTCTGATGTACAGTCGTCGTACTGGTTGTATCGAAGAATATACATTGACCATCTTATAAACACTCCTCGCCTTTTTATACTGTCCGTCCAATAAGCTCACCGCCCGTTCCTTTTCACGGTGGAATGATTTATGATACTCTCTGTGCTGGATCCTACGGTGTCGGCCACAGCCCTATGAGACGTCAGCAAACATACTAAGCTGTAGCGAAATGAGAAATTTATGTTCCCTCTTGTAATACTTAAATATATTTGTATATTTGATTACGATGCTCCTAGAATGTGCGATGGTTTACATAACATATTTTAATATAACAAAACACAGAGGCACAATATCACAAGCCTTAAAGCTTGAAATTACTCGGGTCAATTTCACTTTTTTATAGTCTGACTTTCCAGTTATTCAGTTGACAACTTTTTATGCGTTTTTGATGTGCTGCGCTGTAGCTCTGCTATAGTGAGCAAAAACGCATATCATCCATTTCCAGCTTAGCAGCCAGGAAGGCTGGAGGTTGAAATTCTGAGGACATATCCCCAATCCGTGTGTTACTCTCCCGTTTTAAAATCTTCGCTCATAACGCCTAGACCTCGCTTACGAATGCTCCATAGAAATATCTAAATTTCTTTGGCCAAAAACGATTTTTTGAACCAAACAAGACAGAAAGCTGAAACTTTGCAGGAATATTGTGCATTTGTGAGCTAAGGATTTCAAATTCACGCTTATACCGTGCGTGTGGTCACGTAAAATTTCGCAGTCGGGACTGAACTAACTCGAAAACCAGCCGGAATACAGTAGCTGAAGTTTTATTGTTGTTTATAAGGAAAATTATACACAGGGCTTCGATTTGCGTTTGTGCCACGACTTAGGGCACTTCAAAGATATTTGTAGCGAAGTGGCTATTTCGTTTACCAAACAAGCTGCGAAGCTGAAACTTTGCAAGGACATTCAATCTTTACGCATGTCTTAAATTGATTTTGAAAGTGAAATTCCCTGCATGCAGACATGACAAATAATTTTACCGGGATGTCATAAGCGAGTGCATTTTGCAGATTTCATAATCCTCTTTCGACTTTCTCCAAATCCGCATTTTTTTCAAAGTGCGAGCATTCACGGAAGAACTACCGGCATCTTAGGATCAACTGACCAACATTCAACTGCCAAAAAATGATAATTATGTACCTGAAAGTACGCATGGTCTCACAGTGCAACATCTTCATTCTAACCGATGCACTCTCCTCCTGTAGCCGCTGCAAGGAACTCAGCTGTATTATGGCTCGTTGGTCCGGCCTCCGTCGATAACCGGCGCAGTTTTTAGCAGCTCCGTTAGTCCTCGCCGTCCTCCCTTCCCCTCTAAGAGAGGTACTGCCCCCACCACCTGTTCCTCCTCCAAGCCTCTTTCAAAGATCGGGTCACTCTCCTCGCTTAAATTTTTTCCCATCCCCGTCAGGGTTAAAAGACAACATAACAAAAACATATTTCCGGCAGCAGCGCTTGGAATTTCCGCTGTCTCACGAAACATCTTTGACAAGATGTCTGCGAGATTTGCATTATGATTTATTACGACACCCATTTTGTTTTGACCTTATTTTCGAAATTCTCTCATAATTTTTCTTTTTGAATATTCTCGCTTCGCAACATCCCCTGCATGCCGGATAAGGCCAAAACACAGTCAGTACGGGTCCAAATGTTAAACTACAGCGCAGAAATCATTCCTTCTCTTAGAGATGTGCAAGTCTAGCGCAAAAACGCATGATCGCATGGCAAGCTTGGTGCGTTGCAGCCTGGACTCAGTTATGTCCAAGTCAGCTTGTTAGCCACAATGAAATTTGAAAAGTGAAATCTGACAATTTTGGTACATCTAACAATTTTGGCACATTAACATTATGAGGATATTGCAAAAATAATGCATGATTTTGCCTGCTTGCCAATGAAACCAGTTTCGTAATCAACCCTGTTAGGAAAATATGCATCATTTCAATTAGGGTATATGCTCATTTTGTAAGTACGATTTGTCAACGTAAAACTGTCCAAGCCAAAGATTCTTTTTTTCGATTTTCAAACCAAATTTTAGGCATAGTTCCAGAATTTCATGCCGAGATCTTGAAATCCTGCATTATTTTCAAAACAACTTAACAAAATTTTAAAAAATGAAGAAAAAGCGATAAATAATGGATGAAAATTCATCAGAATTCATCAAAAATTTTTCAAACAACGACCGAAAACACCGTCCCAATTGTTCGCTGGATGCTGAAAATCGTCTTGTTCCTGTTCAACCAACCATGCCTTGGAGGTAGGATGGCATTTTCATTTTCATAAACATACGTGTTGCAAGGAAACCAATAAGTACACAGGCAAAACCTAAGCCCAGCATCATTATTCGATTCAGCTTTGGCGTTAACGGATTGTTACATTTATCCAGAATGATAAAACCAAGTCCTGAAAAAAAAACACAATAACTAACTTTAAAACACAATAAATGCTACTGTTCCATCCTACACGTCGATTTTCGTTTTTGCAGATATTTTTACGTACCGGGGACTGGGTTTCAGCCCACTAATACCCGGTTGAACGGGGAACACAACCCCAAGGTTTCAGCCTTCTAGCTTCTTTGATCTTCTAGCTTCTCAGATGGTCAGCAGTTGTAGCTATATGGCCGCAGTGGTCATCAGAAAATAGCAGCTGGTGGTTAATTTTTTGATGTCCACAGCGGTCATTCTCCTGTTTTCATTTGTCAACCTTCCGGAGA